GTGTGCTCTTTATGTTATCATCACCCAGCACAACAGCTGGACTTGACACTGGATGTGAAGCCTGTGCCTGAGAGGTCAACAGCAGGTCCCTACTGTACTGGCCAGTCTTCGAAACTTGGCTATTTTTATGCCAGGAGTTCTAGTTTAAACTCAAGTTCAGAAAGGCCATGCCAGACAGTATGGATAGCTGAACCTTTTGATCTTCAAAAGACAGGCCTTTTGTCTTTGGTTGTTTTTCCAGAGCCTCTGGCACTTTGTCAGATGCGCTGTACAATTTTTCCTGCCTTTCTCTCTGTTAGTTGTAAAGTCTCCCCCACCCCTGTAATCAGGTTACCATATACCTGAACTTACTTCTTTAGCTACAAGATCTAATAGCGTATTTGGTGGCTGCAAAATTTGAGACAGCCATACTGCAACTTCCTTCATTATAGGATTCCCAGTAGTCTGACAGAGGATGAAAGGGTAATATCTACAAAACAAGTACCATTAGAGCAACGCAGAAAGAAACTTTGTCTGTGTCATCATCTTTGAAAACTAAAACTAGTAAAAACAGAGGAGCCAAGAAAGACATTCTGAGTACTAGAACCCAAAGGACAGTGGAAATGTATTTAACAGTCCCCACCTCAAAAGCACGAGCCTCCAAACCTGGTCTATTATTCATTCCTGTGTAACATTTCTAACACAGTTTATGGGGGAGGGGAGGCCCAGACCTGGTAATCAGCATGGTAAATGAAGAGGGTGTCACAGTTTTTAGTAGCCAGCAGGACAGTCCTCGAGACCTCGTCTATGTGTGCATTTGTTCCCCCTTTTCAAGGCTTACTTTTACTCATAGTGATTTAAAATCCATTTTCTAGCCAGGCGTGGTGGCGCACGCCTTTAATCCCAGCACTCGGGGAGGCAGAGGCAGGCGGATCTCTGTGAGTTCAAGGCCAGCCTGGTTTACACAGTGAGTTCCAGGCCAGCTGGGGCTACTGGGAGACCCTGTCTCAAAAAAGACCAAAAAATAATAATAATAAATAAATAAATAAATAAATCCATTTTCTCAAACAACAGCGAGGACAATGATCCTAGCTGACAGTATAAGTAGCTAAGATTCAAACACAAAACTCAAAATGCTCTCTTTGAGTCACACACTTCTATGATAAATAGATCTATCAAATTCAGATGAATTTTGAGCCTTTTCCATCTGACATGAAAACTTATACCATTTTCTACTGTGGAAGGTTCATTAGTCTTCTTAAGGGTGTGGGGAGGGGTAGGGAGCTGACCTTTCTTATCTTTTCATTGACCAGCTAGCTAGATTTCCACTGCTTTGTTCAGCCAGAAGGTGTGAACAGTGGATTGACATCTGACTACACAAACCTGGATCTACTGGAGTCAAACCTGCTTTGAGGATTTCTGTCTGTTTTTCCAAGGGCTTCAAGAGCCTGCCAGGAGAGCTGCCATACAGCTAAGAGTAAGTTGCAGAGGTGAAGGAGTCCATATGCTCACCAAAGCAGGAAGAAGCAGACACGGAAAGTGGAGGCAGCACCCACTGCTACAATGGTCCAAGGCTGCTTTCTGGGCAGGCAGCCCCTCCCTGTTGTGCTGTATGTGGATACCTTCTGAACGTCTACCTTCAGCATCAGCATTGCCAACTGTCCACTAAGGTTTAGGGTTTTTTTTTTTTTTTTTTTTTTTTTTCAATCAAGTACACATTGCACTTGAGCTAGTTAATTAGCTTCAACTGTTTTTCATCTTGTTAACAGATGCATTTTAGGACAATTATATACTGGTTACACAGTGCCACACAGAGTCATATATGAGCTATACCAAAATAACTGTCTCAGTAGATAGATAATTACAAGGATTCTCTTTTAATTTCTTTTAGGTTTTTCTTTTCTTTTTTGGCCCATTGCAAATAATCTGGTTCCTTGCCAAAAATTTCCTCAGGACACCCCCACCCCTCAACGCCTCCAAGGGGGGAAAAATCTTACTGTTATAAGTATTCGGTGCTGATCATTGAGATTTAATGTGATTTCTATTTCCAAACCTGGTAATAAATCATATACTATTTCCAGTTATAAAGTGATTCAATGTCAGAGGTGATAAGTATCATCCCAACAGAATGGCTAGCAGAGGTCTTCCCACTTCTAGGAGCATTTCAGATGTTCACTGAAGTGCATCTGGGAGACAGCCCACAGCTTCCATAAGTACAAAGAACCCATGGCCAACTCAAGCCTGCTTCTGAATTTCAAACAAACAGTAAATTTAGATGCCAGCAAATAAAAGTGAAAAACATCTGGAACATGTATGAATTAATATTTTCATAGTAAACTACATCTTGATTAAATCATGAATAAAAAGCTTGATTTTTCTGAGCTTCCTAGTCTACACAATATCACTTAAGTTGTAAAACTTAATAATAAACTGAAGAACAGTCTAATGTTTGGGTCCTTAATAATTTCTTAGTTTTTGAACAAATTTATTAATAAGTTTCCTTAGAAAACATCCAACTTAAATCCCGTCTGTGTAATTTGCAAAAGTAGGGATTGTTCATGCAGAAGTGACGCTGAACTATTGCTGGTGTATTGTTACACATACCCAAAGATCAAAATGGGAAGAAAGGACATTATAGTAATTTCTGTGGAAAAGAATGATATCCCACAGAATTTCACAAGTTTAAAATTCAGGACTAAGCTTTCTGTAAGAAAGGTATTTTCAAAGTTTTAAAACTTGAATTAAAATTGTCCTCTTAAAACAAGGAATACAAGAATTTGGCTTAAATTTATGAAATCTGCATGGGAAAAGTGTGCTGTTTCAAAATTTTCACTAAGTATAGTATGTTTAGTTTTAGTTTTGTTTTTTAAAGTTTCCTAGCTTTAGATATTTTTTCTTGACATATTCAAGCATCCTGCCTTTTCAAAAACTGGGCAGTGTGCCACCAAATGAAGAAGTGTTAATTCCACAAGCAGCCCCTGTGTATGAACACTGCCTACGTTCCAAAACTAACATGTATTCCGTAATGAACAAAGCTACATGCATATGCATATAAAGCAAAAGGCATTCTTGCTGTGAATGTGGAATCCACAAACCCTGCTCTGTGCATTTGCTTACTGTCCCACAATTCTCCAATATATATTCACAGACCACATCTTAACAACTGTAGGCAAGTGCTTCTGTCCGATGGAATTCATTAAGAGAATATAGAAATTAAGTGTCAGGTGTACTGATAAGCTTCCAGATTTCTGAGGATTGTCTTTTTTTTTTTTTTCAAAGTAGTCATAGCAAAGCAGCACTGAATTGATTTTTTTGATATTTTTGGGAGAAGGATGGTACTGTACCACCCAGCCCAGAACTCGGTTATTCAAAGATGAAAACTTACGGACCTTTATGAAGGAAGCATCTCAGAAGCTGTGGTAAGGTTACTGTAAATCCCAATTCAAATGAGAAGACTACTGACCAAAACTAAAAAGTAAAACAAATGTTCAAATCACCATAATCAATAGCTCTTCAGTGGCAGTGACTGCATGGTAGAAATGTCTGAGGGGTAAGGTTGGGTGGAATGATGTGGTGGTACTGTGTGGCCTTGAAAATAACTCATGTACGCATTTCCTGTAGGTGTTCTGAGGAAAGAGGGAGAAGTATTTATTATTTATACTTAAAGCAGCTCAGGACCAGGAAAAAGGGGTTAGTGACTCACCTCCAACTACTGGGGTGGAGCCCTGAAATTGAACTCAGAAGGCAAGAGAGCTCTTGGCAGATACAAAGGTCCCTGTTATTGGGCAGAGGTTATAATTGGTAGTATAATGACTTTCACGTAAAAAAAAGAGGAGGAGGAGAAGGGGGGGGAGCTTTTAGATAGCTCAGAAGTTAAGAGTGGTGGCTGCTCTTGTGGAGGACCTGGGCTCAGTTCCCAACACCCAATAACTGTCTGTAACTCTAGTTCCAGGGGATCAAACACCATCTTCTGGTGCCTGCAGTCACTGCATGCACAGATACACTTACATATAGGCAGGTAATACACTCATACACATAAAAAAAAAAGAAAAAATTAAAGGAAAAAGTATCTCTATAAAAGAAAACAAATTTAAAATAGACTCAGTAAGCACCTCCATCAGGGAAAAAATTTGAGAACCAACATAGCTAAGCTATTTAAGCTGCAGTGAGTTAGGACTTTATTATCTCTGTAGCCTAGAATGAAAACTGTAATCCTAAACATTAACTATTGTATTAAGTGGTTTCAAGGAACAACCTGCTTTAAGCTCTGCTCATCTATGCAAGGATTATACAATCTCAGTGCCCTTGCTAAATTGCTAATGTTTCAATATTATGGTGCTGGTGAGTCTCTTGTTGAAGACAGGGCTCACGGATTTTCATTGAAGATGAATTTAACCCTTTCCCTCCCATATTATAGCACAGCACAGCTTATTCTTGAGGCAGGAGCCCAAAAGCTCTAAATCATGCATCAGGCTCTTAATTACCTGATTGGGGGGGGGGGAACCATTATACAGTATGGATGACACTCCCATTTACAAAAGGAGGCCCTAACTCTAGCTCCAGAGATAGGACTCCTAAATGCAGTTTGGAAGAACCATCACAGAAAAAGAAGAAAGTTATAACACAGAAGTAATGGTTTATAAAATTATTCAGGTGTGCAAATTTGGACAATTTTTGTTCCCGGTCTATTCTCACTTGGGCAGAAGATGGAAGCACCGAGCAAAGAGCAGCAAGGCAGCCTGAAGCGAGCGGGAGAATGACTTGGGATGAACGAAAAAGGCAGACGGAACTCTGGGTACTGCTGAAAGCCTCTGCCAGCTTTACCAAATTAATCAGGGAATGGAGCTCAGGGGAGAGTGATATTCCACATATCCAATATCGCTCTGTGTGCATCTGTGTAATATATATGCGTATTTGCATATATCTCTATGGCACACAAATTTACTTAGGGAAAACAGTCTGGAAATTAATTGAACTCAAATGACATGGTTACACATAGATCATAATTTCTAAACACAATGTTAGTAAAACAAAATTTATTTGTAAAACAGGACCTGTTATATAAAATGGCACACAATCAAGTTATACAAAAATACAAAATTTCTTTCTGATTACAGTTCTAGTTGCAAATGATAATTAGAAAGCATTCCTGGTGGTTTCCAATAGCTGGAATTGCGAGCACATGGAACAGGGGCAGCGAGAGTCCATGAGGCAGGCATGTCCAAGTGAGCAGAACCTGGTTTCCAAGTTCAAGACTTCATCAGGTCACTTTGGAGGGACACCTCCTAAACTAGCTCCTGGACTGTCTTCTGGGTTGAGACCCATCTTCCAGGCTTCTGCCCATTCTAAACTTAGTTCTCAATGTTTCTGAATATCCAAAAATCTGTGTGGTTATGAATCACAGGTAAGCTGATTTTTCTTACATGATTTTCTCTCTCACCTAGTAGGACAGTTGTTAGTTACATAATGATATTCCATTTCCAATGATATAAAAGTACAGTACTATTTGGCAACACTAGATGTTAACTTCTGGAGAATAACTGTTTCAAAATAGCTCTGCTCACAAGGTTGCTTTTCCAGATCCTGCTAAGACATGAACTCTTAACTGTGTGTGTGTGGTTTGTTGTTTTCATCTAGACTCTTATTGCAGTATTCTGAAACTTCAGAAATATTTATGAGCTTTGAAAAGAAACAAAGGCATTTAGCAAATTTTAGCCTAGCTAAAGAACACCGATACTTAAAAAAAAAAATACAATTTACCTTTTGCAGCAATTTAAAGGTCCAACCCTTTGAAAGGAAGCACATTAGCAAACAGCTGCTTATTAAGTCCTCGGGACATTAATTGAACGTATTTCCACAATACCAGTCTAAACACCATCTGGTTCTGATAGGAGGAAATGCTTTCTTTCAAAAGATTCTCCTTCCATGGAATGATAAATGCTGAGGCTTTTTTTTTTTTTTTTTAACCAGAGCCTGTATTTAGTGCAATAAGTTTAAAAAATTTGCTCTGAAATATTTACTTTACATTAACAAAAATAGCTTTTTTTAAAAAAATTGTAACAAAAAGGAGTTATCGCATAAACAGATCATGAATTATTCTTAGCAAATTACACTTTTTTTCTTAAAGCATTCACCATTACAATAAGCAGAACAGTGGAATATTAGCCATTCATATCTGGTAAGCTTCAGGAATTAAAATTAAAACAACAACAAAGAACCCCAAACCTACCCCCAAACATAAAGAACATTCGCACTTGAGGATCAAAACACTAACCAATTCTTCAGTTAAACATTGTAGAACTCTGGATACTCAATGAATTACCAAGGAGTGGAGCACCTGTCAGTATGTTCAGATTTGATAGCAAGCATTTGAATAACGGCTGTTTAACCCTAAGCTACTGACTTGCCTCTGAAACAGAAGCCAAAGCATTTGGAATTTTCAATGCTTCATGCTTCGTATTTCTCTCCCTTTAAAAAAAAAATCCCACCTAGCATTACTTAAGCTGAAAATCAATATACACAAACTTAAAGGCTAAACTTGCTGGGTGCCCCAGCTTCCTTTCAAATCAGGCACACAAATGTGTGGTGGATACTACTAAAAATCAAACAGGAAAGAAAGACAAACTATAAGAAAAAAGTTTGCATAAGAAAGATTATCTACCCTTTTCTCTTTTTTTCCTACGTTCTTTTATAGAAGCATTAGGGTAAACTACAAATACCTGAGGAGTTGGTTACTTTTTAATGTCGGCTGACAAATGCATGAGGAATCATGAACATTCACGTAAGGGGCCCGCTCGGAGAGTTCTGAAAGGAAAGTGGCATGGCTTCTTTGAGGAGGGAAAACTGATGGGAGAAACCTCTTATTTATCTGAAAGCACATGCCTAGTCTTGATGCACCAGGACTCATGCATCAGTGAAATAAGATTTTGATTTTGAATGCACATCAGAGCATTGCCTCTGAAAAAATTTGACACAAGAATTTAGTACACTAATTTTACTTAGGTTAAGTAACTGAAGTTAAAATTTCCTCTCGTTATTAAAAATGTTAATCAGATATGAATCTAACATTTCCATTAAGACAATTACAATTGAAAACATTGAATGACGGAAGTTGCCTTGTAAAAGCCACCCGTATGAAAGAAGTACATGTTTGACAAAAATAAGCATAAAAAAGGTATTAAATCCCTGTTCCTTTTCTCTGATTTTGGCTGATTATGTGTGTGTGTGTATATACATACACATATATACACACATACATATACATATATACACACACCCACACACACAAATACATAGTTATGTGTATATATTGTTTTGGAATGTCAATGGGTTCCATAACGGTCGGCTAGGTTCAAGCAGAACTTGCTCCCGAAGCCTAGAAAACAAAGTCATACAGAGTATAATCTTAGACAATTACCATCAAAAGGAGATATGATTGATGTCACAAACACACAGGGCAAAATAGGGTGAGCAACACACTTCTCCAGCCTGTACCCTGACAGAGCTCAGGTTTCCCCTCTCTTCCTTGTATGACAGCAATCAGATAGCCAGATTTTCTAAAAGCTCTTTATCACATTTGGCAAACTTTTCTAAAATCACTTTCAAAGAACTGTAGAAAGACCTCAGGAACCTTAAAAAGGTTTTGAATTAGTGGGGCTCTCGTAAAGTGTTTAAGAGGAAAGTTGTCAACTCTCTTTCAGTTCAGTATCTTTTGTCAAAAAGGAAATTTGAAAACCTCACTTTCCTGAATATTTTTTAATAGGCTGAAAAGAAACTCTACATGAAGATAGCCCTTTGAGGAGGAACACAGACAGCAGCAGTGTTTCTGGATGTATTGTAAAATAGGCATGATGCTCTTGTATGGAACTTTCGCCTTGAAGAGTAACAGGCAAACACAAACAAGCAATTCTAAATTCTGAGGTTCCCCATACTTTAGTGGAGAGCCTCTCAGGTAATTCTTTATGACATAGGGCTGGTGATAGCAGAAGTCAACTCTAAAAGCAATGGAGAAGAAAGGTAATCATGTGCTTAAAAAACAAAGCTGCTCTATGAGCAGCACTTTGTGCTTCTCTTAGGGAGCTCTTGAACCACTTAAAACAACATTCTTATGAGTCAAATGCTGCAAAGCCCACAGCACCGGAGGAACAATGCACACAAAAGATGGACCTGGGGACGGAGCAGAGGAGCAGAGGGCTTTTGCCACTAGTAGTAAGTAATGAGCTGATGAACAACATAAAATGAAAGCACAAACTGAATGAAGATTTGAAAGCATTGTTTGCAGTTCAGGACACAGTTTAAAACTAAAAATACTATTACGAAAATGTTTGGCTTCTGACAGAATACTATGTAACTTAGGCAATTCTCTTAAGATGACTGTAAATTAGGGTTTCAGGTAACGAACTTGCATTCTGGCCTATCACAATTCAGCTTCTCTCTACTAAGAACAATATGGAAATATATGCCAGGGCAGGGCCAAACTGGCTAGTCTTCAACTTCAAATATTTATACTTTAAATGCTTATTATTGAAGATTAATTTAATGGAAGTTTCAATCACAGAGAAGGAGAAAAAGCAAGCTTTTATTTTATGATTTTTATATATGTCCTTTTTGAGTTTTAGGCTTTGATCTTTACTTCTAAACAATAAGGACAACCAGGCAGAATAAGGAAGTAAGCCTTCCTTATTCTTCCATGTCACCATCGGGTTAGCATCACGGCACCGCTGTCCTAATTAGAGCAGTATAAACTTGAGACATCTGTGTGCAACTATAGTGAAGACATCTATGGGCAAAACAACTCAGGTATCTCTAGATTGCTTAAGTTGCTTCCTTTTCTTCAAATAGCTATCATCTGGGTATCTAAGTCTATATGCTATGTATATATATGTATCTATCATCTATCTATCTATCTATCTATCTATCTATCTATCTATCTATCTATCTATCTATCTATCTATCTATCTATCTATCTATCTATCTATCTATCTATCTATCTATCTATCTATCTATCTATCTATCTATCTATCTATCTATCTATCTATCTATCTATCTATCTATCTATCTATCTATCTATCTATCTATCTATCTATCTATCATCTATCTATCATTTACCTACCTACCTACCTACCTACCTACCTACCTATCACACCCATGATCTGTGATTCGTTAGAAATGAATTCTTTTCACAACTAAGCTAGGAGAAGACTAGGTTGTCTTACCGGGAGGAAATGTGGGTGTTGATGGAAATTGCTTTGTTTGCTACAGAAAAATAGTTCAAACAAATAAACAACAGAAAAAACAAACACAAAGTACAAAAGAAAAAGTCTGCAAAGAGGAATAGACAGCAATGTAAACAGAAAAATATTGTTTTTTTTAAAAAGGAGGAATATGAACTTTAGCAAGTTGAAAGGAACTGTCATGACTACCTTCTAAAAAGATAAAAAACCCTAATGTGAGTTCAAGTATACCCCTAAATGTTCAGTGGGATGAAAGCTAAGCACTGTTAGTTAGAAAGCAAACAAGGCAAAGCTATCAATCCCTGGGCCCTGAGCACTGGCACAGACATTGTTCCTTTCAGCTTACTTTTACAGAAGGTGATGTCAGCTGTGACAAGACTTCTGCCATCCAAGTGATGGGTAAGCAGACAAACAGAAAGAGCAGCACGTCCTGTGTGATACAGATTACGAGCACTTCTCCCGAGGATGTGCAGTCAGTGAAGACAGAGAGAGAGAAGAAGTGAAAGTGAAATTCTTGGAGGGCAGCCACCTCCTCAGCTCCACCTACCATGGGCTTTAGCTCTCTGGCATCAGCAGCGCCTCCCTTACCAGCTTCCTTCATTGCTTTCCTACTGTTTTCCACAAATTCCTGAAAAATATGGACCACATGGTATTAATCTTGGGGGCCTTTTAGATTTCAGTCAGTAGGTGAGTTTTAAATGGTGTGACCTCGGTAGCAATAAATAATACTTCATATCAACAACAGAGATGCTAAATCTGTGAGGATGGATTGCAATTCACAGATGTAAAATCTTCTTTCCATCCATTCATTGTGACAATCTCATTATGGCTCCATGAGATAACGTTATTTCTGTCTAGAAGGAAAAACACCTAACATTTTTAAGAGTTTGGTTTCCCACACTTGGAATGTTGTTTGTTTGTTTGTTTGTTTATTTATTTATTTATTTATTTATTTGTGTGTGTGTGCAAAATGTTAAGATTAAATGAAACACAGACAATTTACTTCAAAAGTCTTCACTCTTTAAAATACTTTACTTACTACTTTTAATTTCATGAGTGTTTTGCCTGTATGTATGCAAGTGTATCACATGCATGTCTTCACTCTTTAAAATTTATTTATTTATTTATTTATTTGTGTGTGTGCAAAATGTTAAGATTAAATGAAACACGGACAATTTACTTCAAAAGTCTTCACTCTTTAAAATACTTTACTTACTACTTTTAATTTCATGAGTGTTTTGCCTGTATGTATGCAAGTGTATCACATGCATGCAATGCCCATGGAGGCCAGAAGAGGGCATCATCAGATCTCCTGAAAGTGGAATTGCAGACAGTCTGAAACTACTATGTGGATGCTGGGAACTCAACCTGGGTCCTCAGGAAGAGTAGCAAGTGTTCTTGCCCATTAAAGTAATCTCTCAGCCCCTAAGTATTTTTAAAAAATTAATTATTATCATTGTTGTTGTTTTAAGACAGGATCTCACAATGTAGACCTGGATGGTCAGGTACTCCTGATGTAGCCCAGGCTGACGTTGAACTCATGACAACTCTCCTGTACCAGCCTAGGACTGTTATGGGCAAGGGATTATGGGTATGTTCTACTATACCCTGTTTATAAACTTCCACTTAAAGAAGGTAGTACTGGTAAGCTTGAAATACTTGCTATAGTTTTTAAAAAACAAAACACAGATAAGCTACTTTTAAAATGTCTATCTCATCTTGACATTACTCCATAAAGCAGGAATATAGAAAGCATCAACCGAAACTTGTGGTCAGAAGTGGCGAAAATGGCCACAGTCCCTGTTCTACCAGAGTTGGTGGCACACTCCTTCATTAGGCAACCCCAACACAGAGAAAAACAAAGGGAGAAAACCCATTTTTGGCAGGGCATACTGGTTCATGCCTGTAATCTCAAAACCAGGGAGACTAAGTCAGGCTGGACTACACCGTTAGACTTGACTTTAAAAAAAAAAAAAGAGTGGAGCATTTTTTGCTCTGCTTTGATCAGTTGCTTATACAGAATCTCTTTAACTACTTAAGTCACAGGCGAGATGAGAGAAATACTTGAGGTCCAATTCTATTATAAAAACAACTAGTTAGCATTACAAAAGCATTCAAAACTGCAGAGGCTATATAACTATAAACATCTGGATACAATATCTTTATAAAGATTCTGATTCTGAGAGATATGAAAATACAAAATACTTTGCCAATCATAGGTTGACTACTGTATTCATTATGAATGCCTTCAATTTGGCCTTTCATGTTTAGGATGCTGAGTGTTAATTAGAGTTAACTTGGAAAAGGAGGTGCTGGAGAAAGGCAGGCAGGCACTCAGATCAGAGAACAAGACTTTGGTCTTTAAGACCTGTTTTGGGAAAAGGCACTTTAGCATGAGTAGCCCAGTGTTCTGATTCAAGGGCTAGAAGGTATGTTTAAAAATCATTCAAATCTGTCTTGCTGAAGAGAGAGGGGCAGGCAGGATGGAACAGTGGGTGTTTAAGATTGTTTAGGATTGAGTTCTGGTGGGCCTGAAATAACTTCTCCATATGAGAAAAAGTATGGAAAAGACTTTCTTTACTGATTTCTCCAGGACAAACGTCACTCATGAGTGAGTTCTACACTTTTCATACTGAATTACTCCATTCCACAGAGTGGTAATTAACCATACAGACTGCTCTGCAAAATATTTTGTTATTTTTATCCCTCAAGCAGTAGAGAGCATGTGAAGTACTTACCATCAACACTTTATCCATATAGAATTCTCGGCCAGGGCTCCCATCATTGTATTTTGTATCAATGGCAAAACACAAGAATAATACATCCACTACCATTTCGTAAATGGACAGGAAGCAATGAGCGACTAGGAAAGCAAAGAGGCAGACGATGATCAGAGGCAGCACCCATACTGTGTAATCCTGCTGGTAGTTGAGCAGCATAATCCCAGCCAAACCCGTGCTGCAGACTATCAGCACCTGCAGCAGAGAGAGCAAAGACCACACTTAATATCCTATGGCAGAAAGCTGCGGACTGCAAATCCTCTACGCTTTAAAAATGATGACTGTGTAAGGCTGTTCCATCCCAAATTAAAATGCATATTCGACATCTACTCACACAAAGATACTCAGGTACACTGCATAATATAAAATTTAAAAACACAGTAAATGGCTCTTGTTTATACTAAAGATAACTGAGTTTGCTAAATGCCGTGTTGCTCCAGAAAACTTCACCAATGAGAATCTGGTAATAAAATAAATGTGTGCATATTTTAGAAAAAAAGTTTTCTTAGCACTCAGAAAATTATTAGGACACTGGAACTGACAAATTTTTTCTAAACACTCTTACATATATGAGATATTATATATTATATATACACACAAATAATGAAAATTTCATTAAAATTTATAACATACTATAAATGCTTCATAAATACTTACTGAATGGTCTAATTCCATCTTATGAGTGATTTAAAATTTATTTAAGCATTTTCCTACTATTGGAGAGTTATATTTTAGAATAAATGATGTGACAACACCTCTTATTCTTGGAACTTTTCCTATGGTTCATATTTTATTTGATATAGAATATATAGTAAATATAGCTTTCCATGAAGTTTAGGTTTGGACTATCTGTGAAGCAAGTTTTCATCCACAGAAAAATAATGAACAGTCACCTTGATTACTGGGAAGAGTTATGTGCTTGGATGCTTCATCACCTCATTTTTTTTAAGGTTCTCTTAATACATTGTATTTCAGCTTACCAATAATCCTATGAATACTTTATGGCAAATAATTTAAAGCCCATTTTATAGATTGGGAAATACACTTAGAAATGTTAGTTAACCTGCTAGGGTCATAGAGAAAGGAGCAGGTTCCACTAAAAAAATGGTCTCATAATGCCAACCCCAGGGCTCTTTCCAGCTGAAACCCAGCCAACGCATAGTATCGACACACAGCAGTAATAGGTTACTCTGAATCTTAGACATACTCCTCCCTGGCCCTCTGCTTAGCTCAGCACCAGGCTTTAAATAAAGAAGACTCCAGAGTGAGAGCAGCCTCCTCTTCTCTAGTACTACGGTCAGGCAGACTACATCTTCCTCTGTGTCACTACCAGAGCTTCCTTCCTTCACCTTCATCTGAACCATGAACTGTAACGCATTAGATGACACACTGGCTCAGCTATAAATCACTGATGCTCAGATGCTGTCACAGAGCAAACTAGGACTGCCAGAGCAGACCTGTCCTGTCCCACCATTTCTACAGCCATGTACTTATAAGCCATCTCTTACAGTGGCTTATTTTCTGGGATGATTTCCATAGGTGGCTAATTATATAATTTCTTAACACTCAATACAGTTTCAATTTTAAAGTGAGTTATTTCTTAGGCTGTCTTCAAATTCCGTACATTCCCTCTATGAGAGAGCTGGAGTTCATCTTTTTTTTTTTTTTTTAAGACAGGGTATCCCTGTAGCCCCAGCTGGCTTGGAACTCGTTATGTAGATCAGGCTGGCCTAGGTCTCACAGAGATCTGCCTGCCTCTGCCTCCTGAGTACTGAGATGAAAGGCGCATGCTTCCATGCCTAGCTTGGTTCTTTATGTTCTTACCATGCCCCTAATGCCAAACCATAAATTTTTGAGATCACTTATAGGAAAAAAGTGTGACTCAAAGTGGATAGGCTGGCTTGGAACTCGTTATGTAGATCAGGCTGGCCTAGGTCTCACAGAGATCTGCCTGCCTCTGCCTCCTGAGTACTGAGATGAAAGGCGCATGCTTCCATGCCTAGCTTGGTTCTTTATGTTCTTACCATGCCCCTAATGCCAAACCATAAATTTTTGAGATCACTTATAGGAAAAAAGTGTGACTCAAAGTGGATAGTGGGACAAGGCCGTTAAGATGGCGGCTGCATGTTACATCATATAAGAAATAGCTTCAAGATAAATGGAACAATGACTTCAAAATATAATTGAAGAGCACCATGCATTTACTTAAACAGGTTACATGATGGATCTCAAACTACAGAGCAGCTAGGAATGCAGATTCCAGGGCTCTGACCACAGAAAGTGGACTGGTTGAATCAAAGATGAAGCCCAGCAATATGCATCTTAAAAGCATCCCAGGCACTGACAAAGTGCACAGCCTATATCGCAAGAAGCACTGTTCTATGTGATCTTCATGATAGGGTATGCATATGTGCTGGATAGCTTTAGTGTCAACTTGACACACTTGGGTTGAGGGAGCCTCAATTGGGAAATTGTCTCCATAGGACTGGCCTGTGGCCATGTCTGTGGGGCATCTTCTTGATTGTTAAGTGACATGGGAGGGCCCAGCCCACTGTGGGTGGTGCCATCCCTGGGCAGGTGGGCCTGTGTTGCATAAGAAAGTAAGCCAGTAAGCAGCATTCCTCCATGGCCTGTGCTCCACCTCCACCTCCAGGTTCCTGCCCTGAGCCCCTACCTTGGGCTTCCTAATGAACTGTGACCCAGGAGATATAAGATAAAATAAACCCTCTCTTCCCCAAGTTGGTATTGGTCAGAGTATTTTGTCACAGCAATGGAGAAACAAACTAGAACAGCGTACAAAGCCTAGAGGATATGAGAAGGATCACTTGAGACTTCTATTTGTATTTCTCATACATTTAAAACTTAATATTTTTCATAATGCATAGGTTAGTAAAATGTGTACATATATCATTAATAAATGAGAGTAAATACGGGGGCTGGGAGATATAGTAATAGCTCAGTGGTAGAATGTTTATCTAGCATACACAAGGCTCTGGGTTCAATCCCTAGCACTCTAAGAAGAGCAAAAGAAGGCATACATTTTATGGGTAGTGCTTTAGCTTTGTTTTCTAATAGAATATATGTTTTTAAAGATTTAGACACTTCTATTCCAGAGGATAAGATATTTAAGTACAGTATAAGGTATTCCAACACAGGGTAGGAATGTGAGGATTCAGGAAGTCAATGAAGGATGCCAGTTTTGGAGTCAAAATGATGGAGATTTGGATTTCAGTTACTACTTAGCTTTGTGACCCTAAATAAGTTCATTTACCATTTCTAAGCCAGTTTTTCTATCTTTGAAAGAGACATAAACATACACACATTTCATGATATTAAAATTAGTATTAAAAACACTGACTATTATGTCTGGCTAATGTTTGTCCTTTGTTCCCCTACCAACCTCAAGTCCTGCATTTATGCTTTTTCCTTGGAAACTGTATTTGGAGAGATTTTTGTTTACCAATAAGATAGCATTTATAAAATGCATATCCTCAAATAAATTGTCAACTACAAAATATAATAATGTGAGAAAAAGTATTACAAAGTAGAGACAAAGTAATTCACAAAGAAGTTAACAAGAGATCCTAGCAGACAGACTGAGAGGGTGGGTTCGGACCTCAATCAATGTAGCAGCTCTGACCTCAGCAGACCTCCAGAGAGTGCCCAGTTCTGGTCTCCCTCAGGTCTCCCTCTGGCAGAGGGCCTGGGAATGCAGGGGACTGCTTGAGAGCCCCCAGATCCTGCCTCCACGTGGTGGTCCTTTTAATAAGATGATGACATACAGAAGTTTCTTCTGCATGAAATAACTACCAGAATCACTTCAGCTGAGCCTGATTGCTAAACATTGTCAAAATTGGGCATGTTTACGGTTGTGCTCATTCATTAAAGAAAGGCCAAGCAGGGTCATTGGACCCTCGCCTCATTATCCAGCCACTCTTCCCAGCCAACTATATGTAATTTGGCCCTAATCACACATGGCCTCCTGGATTTGGGGAGGGCTAAAGTATACAATCTGAGGAAGGCTAGGAAGAGAAGGCATGACCCATCCTGGGTAAAGGCTTTCCAGTGTGCATACCCTTAGGTCATACATATACCTCAGCAACCCCTCAGTTATATCGGTAAGTAAGCTCAATAGATTTATTGGTTCCCCAGTAAAACTTTAATCAAACATTGGCTTGGCGCTAGAACCTTAAAAGGGAATAAGCATTGCTTAGCATCCCCAGGAAAAGAAGTCTTACAACAGATGGAAAATTTATTAATGCTATTATGTCTCATAATTATTTTTAAAGAAAAGAAAATGAGAGTGTAAAAGGTGTTAAAAGGATATGGGAATGGAGAACAGACAGAAAAAAATGAGAAAGCCTAAGCAAGTGATGAAGATCTGTGTGGGTTTGTTATGATATGAAGGATGACACAAAAATAATACACACATAATCTTAAAATGTCTATGATCATAGTATAGTCAACTAGTTTAAGGAAAAAAATATGTATCTAGTCAAGGTTTATCTGAGAATATTTGGTTTTGTGCCTAAGCCTTATCTACATAGCACATGATATTAAAAGTACCAGACTGGTGGAACTAACCTTATTGGATGTTTAACAGCCATAGTTTGAGGCCTATACTGATGTGGTCAGAGGAACTTAAAGTACAGTTTTTGCCCCTTGCCCTCTAAGGGTGACTAAGTTCCAGGGGATTATGGAACGTCTCTTAAAATGTCCTGTAACTATGGTGAGTCACCTGTCCTCTTGTTCAGGGAGGACATGAAGACCCCATGAGATAGACTTGAACCAGTGTCCAGTCTACAAAGACGAGGGTCAACCCAGAGAAAACATCTCATCCATGCTTCCAAGTGAAGCCAGACATAATCGAGCAGGACCTTTGACTTATCTTTACATAGATGGAACTAGTAAAAGAAAGGAGCCAGGGACTCCTCCCAAGCCCATGTGATCAATGAGGAACAGATTCTTAAATGACCTTAGGTATAAATACAAATTGATTTATTTGGGCCAACTGTATGGTCTTAAACACCCAAAAGGAGAGGATAACCAAAGAGTAAAGTCATCAATATACTTCTTTAAGAGTTCAAGGGATTACATTGACATTAAGGGTATACTTCTTTAAGAGGTCAAGGGATTACATCCCAGACATTAGGCTTAATTCTATATAAAAAGTTATTTAGACAATTATTTCTCAT